GCCGTTATACCAATTAGATGTCAAAAATGCATTTCTACATGGTGATTTGACAGAAGAAGTGTATATGGAGCAACCACCTGGGTTTGTTACTCAGGGGGGAGAACGAGAAGGTTTGTAAGTTGAAGAAGTCTTTGTACGGGTTAAAACAGTCTCCCAGAGTGTGGTTTGGGAGGTTTAGTAGTGTTGTTATTGAGTTTGGCATGCAACGTAGTGCCTATGATCACACTATTTTTTATAAGCATTCTAACCGTGACAACGTTTTGTTAATTGTCTATGTGGATGATATAGTGATCACAGGTGGTGATGCAATGGGAATTGATGCGCTCAAATCTTTTCTTAAGAAGAAATTCCACACGAAAGATCTGGGAGTATTGAAGTACTTCCTTGGAGTAGAGGTCGTTTGTTCTAAGAAAGGTATATTTCTTTCACAACAGAAATATGTGCTAGATTTACTTGAAGAATCTGGGCTCTTAGGGTCGAAGCCTTGCGAGACTCCTATGGACCAGAGTGTTAAGCTTGTAACCAGTGAGGGGAAGCCTCTTGAAGATCCAGAGCGGTATAGGAGACTGGTGGGAAAATTAAATTACCTTACTATTACTCGTCCGGATATTGCCTTTCCAGTGAGTGTGGTGAGTCAATTCATGGAGATTCCGACAAAAGTCCATTGGGAAGCTGCAGTTCGAGTTGTGAAGTATTTGAAGAGTGCTCCTGGGAAAGGAATTTTGTATGCCAATCATGGGCATGTGAGTGTTGAGGCCTTCTCTGACGCTGATTGGGCTGGGTCACTGAGTGACAGGAGGTCGACAATGGGGTATTGTGTGTTCCTTGGTGGCAACCTAGTGTCGTGGAAAAGTAAGAAGCAGGGTGTTGTGGCTCGCTTTAGTGCAGAATCCGAGTATAGAGTAATGGCTCATGTGGCGTGTGAGGTGACGTGGTTATGTAATATTCTTGGGGAGATTGGTGTAGAGGTGAGTGTGCCAGTTCCTTTATGGTGTGACAACAAAGTCGTTATACACATTTCGAGTAATCCTGTGTTTCATGAGCGCACTAAACATATTGAGGTAGATTGTCACTTTGTACGGGACAAGGATCAACAAGGGCTACTTTCTACTATTCATGTTAGAACTGGTGATCAATTGGCGGATGTGCTTACGAAAGGCCTTAGTAGAGCCAGGTTTGAGTATATTTGTAACAAGCTGGGCATGATTGACATTTATGCTCCAGCTTGAGGGGGAGTGTTAGAAGAATAAGGGTAGTTAGAATAAGTTGCTTAGTCTTTCATTTCCTTTTTTTGAATTATGTGGTTGGGAGTCTCTCAGCCTATGTATAAATAGGCTTCTACCTTGTACAGCTTATACACAGAAATACACATAGAGTTTTACAGTTTCAACATTTAACAAACTCTAAGCATCACTATCCATCCAACAATGGGAATAAACAGGGGAAGTAAGAACATGAAGGTGGAGGAGAAGAGATAACAGGGGTGGAATAACATACTAAAGTTTTAGAGAAAGAAACAAATAAAAGCCTGGAATTATTCTTTGGTGCCTTTAGTGTACAATGAAGCAGTTTAAATAGCTACATACATCCTAACATCAAGCAATATTCTAAAACTAAATAAAGTAATACATGAAAATAAATCAAGAAATTCATAACTAAATTGACTGACAAATTTTTGAAATTAGGTAATTGAGCCTTCAAGGACTTCCATCAAATTATATGAAATTAACAAAAATATTAATTACTTTACCTTAGATTAAATTTGCAAGAAAGAAGGCAGTAGTGATTCTACTTAAACATTGAGGCCCAATTCATGTTCATACCCATTGAATGCTATTGATTTTAGCTGTTATTTCCGCTGTTGAGAAGGTAATGAAGAGGATTTCGCTGATTGCAGATCCTCATAGGTACCGTATGACAGATAAGTAATGAAAGATGATCGGATGAATGATGTGAGGAATCTGCGGAGAAAATGAGCAGTATCGCCCGAGAACGGCCAAGAGATATTAATATGGATGAGCAGTATCGTCGGGAACAACCAATAGATATTAATATGGATGAGCAGTATCGTGAATGACCAAGAGATTAGGTTGAATAAGAGAAAATGTGGAAGGAAAATGAGTGGACGAAATGGATTTTGCCTTTTTTATATTATATTTAACGGTTCTTTTAGTCAAGTTAATAGTAACAGAATATATTGGATATTTTTGTCTATAAAAATGTATTGTACAACATTAAGAACACAATGTACAACAAAGTAAGCAATTAAAAAATGGACAAAATTAAGGATATAATCATCATTGAAACTTATTATGTTTTTAGATAGATTTCATGGTACACCTATGTAGAATCATCACATCGATAAGCATGTATAGAGCATCTATTGGGTTTTTGTTGCGGATCACTCACTTGATTCAAAAATTCCAACAATAGACATTGCGTATAACATCTCTATGAATGATTATGCACTATACATGTAACTGCTACTGAAATTTTTCCAAAGGAGAGATGTTGTGATGTCGTGCCACAACGTATATGGGTGTAGCAAGACATTTCTATTATATGAATATGTTTTGTAAATTTATTGTTAAAACTTATTATCGTGAAGCTAGTACTTATAGTTTGTCTAATGTACAACGCAGAGCGACCTTGATGCTAATGGATATTTAGACTACAATGTGTATTAACAATCTCGTACAGCATACTCAATGTGCTCTTATTAGAACAATATAATGTTGTTGTACATCGAGTATGTAGTTTTGAAATCTATCTACAAATTTCTGAACTGCTAATATAACATTATTTAAATTAATGACTCCAATACATTCTAAATATTTATTAACATGAAGAGCAAAACGTTCTCTAAATTGAGAAGTCGAATTGAAGGTGTTAATGTCGTCGAGATCTTGAAAAATATTCATGCCTTCTGAAATTGTAAGGTTTTCATAAAGTTGTAGTTGAACTGTATTTGGATCTCTATGATGTCGTGATTGTTGTTGAATGGTCTCCTTAGTGAGATGTTCCCCGGTGCGAAAATACATCGCTCATGCAGTTAATGTGTTGGTAATATGTGCAACCATAGTATATATCAACGCGCTTTCTTCTAATTACGCGTATCAGTTTGCGATGTCTTACTTTGATGTTCTCAATGTAGTACCCCCGCATTTTTTATAGTCTTTTCCCCAACAATATTTGCATTTTGTTTGAGGGATTGGAGCCGTACATTATGTTGGAGATGAATTCAAATTCTGCATTTTGGAGCGTCTAATTCTTGAGGGCAACATTTTCCTCTTTATCTAGGAAATCTTTATAGCACGCACCTTCACCTGGATTACACAATAAGATTGATGGGAGGTAACCTTTAATTAGAACGGGTTTCCCATACTTGCAATTACTTTGCCAATCTTTTTGCCCCCAATCAAATCTTTCTAATGCTTCATCTTTAAGTAAGTGGGAGTTACATCATCTATGACATTATATGTTGCATCATTGTGGAATACTGATTTGTTGAAATCTAAGTGATGGCCGTTAATGTAATTATGACGGTCGAGTGAGCGGGCCAAAGTAGTTTTGCCTATTCGACTTGGGCCTTCAATGATTATACTTTTAGGTCTATCTGGCCACGCATCGGTATTTTCCTTTGTGAATACATTTTCCTTCATCCATTGCTTTAGTGTTTCTGGTTCGATGAATGATTGCGTCTCTCATCGTGTACAATATACTTGTATTTGAGGGGCGAATATTCGACCCATATTGGAAATTAGATTATGATATTGTAGAATGAAACTCCTTGGGTCTTTCCCATATTGGAAATTAGATTATGATATTGTAGAATGAAACTCTTTGGGTCTTTCTCTTTTATTATTTGTAATATACTGTTGCATCTCTAAACTCAGAATTAATCGCTTTGGCATATACATCTGCAACTGTTTGCTTACATCCCCTAGCATATCTTCCTTCAATTTGAAAATCACCCCAATCTACATAGTCTCCGATCCCTCCTTTTCAATGTATGATTTAATATCATTTAGCAGATTGAACATTTGGATGGTTCTGTTACTGTGTTGTATGTCGAAAAACCTTTGATTAGTGCATCAGAATTTCCCTATGAACTGGAGAAGTACGTGCAAATGTGGTTCCCCGGCCCGTTGTTGCGTAGTTTTATGCACATTCTTATGAAGTTTAGATTTGTAGGGTAGTTGAGGTTTTGAGATGATGAAGAGCATCATCTTTTGAGAGAGAACATCTTGAGAAACTGAGGAAATAGTTTTTGCTATTTATTCTAAATATGTTGGGAGCCACTTTTCAAATGTCATCGATTGAAAAGTTCACCCAAAGTGCACTACCAAAGCTCACTCAAAGTGGGTTATACCATGATTGCATTATGGGCCTTGGTCCAAAATGACTTTGAGATTATGTGCTTGTAGTTTTGTACCTATATATAGTTAATAGTTTATGTATTTGTAGTTAACATGTTATGTCTATTCTATTTAATTACAAGCACATAATTTTTGGAATTTTTCAACACATAGGTCCGAATCCTATTGGGTGTCTGCCCAAATAATTTATTTTCAAAAAAGAAAAAATCCAAACTTCTCAAATTATATATGCATGCCGTGCCGTCTATCTTTGAACAAGTCCAGTGAGCATATATAATATGATGCATGGAAAGCTTTATTGAGAAATTATCCATATGGCTATATAGTTATTCTGTTGCCTCTTAGGGGATCAATTTAATTTGTTTCACATCATGGCCGTCCGTAGCCGGTAGCAGTTTCAAGTCGCGACACAAATAATAAGAAATCTATATAAGGGAGAACCAAAACACACAACTCATCAGTGCAGCATTGAACGATTTGCAAATTTAGAAAAACCTTGAGGATTTGAAAGATGGCCACTACTACTTCAACTTTTATGGCGATGGCCATTGTTGCAGTGTTTGCCATTTCAGCTATGGCTACTGCCGCTCCAAGCCGGCCTAATCGTGCCCGGAAATTGGCTCAATATGCAACTCCGGCCACCCCATCTTGGCCGGCCACTACACCTCCATCCATCTCACCGTCATCTTGGTCAACTATTCCGGCAACTCCATCTCCTTCACCATCATCTTGGTCATCCTCTCCGGGAGCCCCATCTATCTCACCATCATCTTGGTCAACTTTTCCGGCAACTCCATCTGTTTCACCATCATCTTGGTCATCCCCTCCGGCAGCCCCATCATCTTGGTCAACTATTCCGGCAACTCCATCTATTTCACCATCATCTTGGTCATCCTCTCCGGCAGCCCCATCATCTTGGTCAACTATTCCGGCAACTCCATCTGTTTCACCATCATCTTGGTCATCCCCTCCGGTAGCCCTATCTATCTCGCCATCATCTTGGTCAACTATTCCGGCAACTCCATCTGTTTCACCATCATCTTGGTTATCCTCTCCGGCAGCCCCATCTATCCCACCATCATCTTGGTCAACTATTCCGGCAACTCCATCTGCTTCTTCACCATCATCTTGGTCATCCCCTCCGGCAGCCCCATCTATCTCACCATCATCTTGGTCAACTTTTCCGGCAACTCCTGCCACCCCATCTTACTGGCCAGTTGCCCCTACAACTCCATCTTGGTCAGCTGTTCCGCCTACTTCGCCGGCCACCCCTTCTTGGCCAGCTATTAGTCCATCCATTTCACCATCTTATTGGCCAACTGTTCCTGCGGGCAACTCCATCTTGGCCAACTGAAGCACCTTACGTGAGTCCAAGCCTTAATCCATGCTTTCAATTCGGTTTTACATTACGATCATTATTGGCGACATGCATCGCCAGACTATCCCCATTTTGAATTGTCATATGTTGTTTATTTTAAATTAAAATTAATTCTTAATTGAGCTGTTCTTTTACTCGTATGTCTGTTATACAAGGATCCATTTGGATTATGAATAAAGGACACTATTTCTCAGCGATAAGATATGATGGTCTTGCTCTTGCATGCTAAATATGTCGTGCTTGTTTATTAATTGGTAAAGCATGCTCACGTTCATTATTATATTATATGGAGTAATTAAAGTCTTACATTATTTCTTGTTTACACAAAATTAAGCTTTTGTTATCAAATACTCTTTAATTTGTCCTATTTTATGGGTCTGATTCAGTTCAACCAGGCTTGATGGAGTTATTTTTAATAAATTTTTTCTAATATTAAATTTAGTATTACTATACAAAATACTATTAAACACAAAAAATTATATTTAAAAATAAGTAAAAAATAATAAAAAAAAATAAATAAAGAAGAAATAGTTGGTTTGATCAATGAATAGTAAGTAGCTAGGACATATAAAATGGTTCTAATATTAAATTTAGTATTACTATACAAAATACTATTAAACACAAAAAATTATATTTAAAAATAAGTAAAAAATAATAAAAAAAAATAAATAAAGAAGAAATAGTTGGTTTGATCAATGAATAGTAAGTAGCTAGGACATATAAAATGGGAAAGATGGAGTAATAATTAATAATTAGTGTGACACCCCGAAAATTATTCTAAATTTTCGAATTAACTCCTACGATTATTTTCCTAAGTAGAGAATTAATTTCTTCATTTAAAGCCCAATCCCTTGTATTTAAATAATCCAAGTTTAAGAAATTACCTTAAGCCCAATCTTTCTAAGCCTTATATATGTACTAGTTTTTCTACGCGCTTTGCGCGAATAAGATAATGCCCAATGGTTATTTTTAAATAATCATTTCAAAGTATATCAATGCAATATTATATAGAAGATGTTCATGGTAAATAAATGTTGAATTTGTTTATTTAAATCGGTAATTTAAAGTATATAAATGCAAGATAATATATTAGAGATTGATTATATATAACTATAACAAAAATAAATGTTTGCAAGTTTGTAATAACGCTAATCTAAGTACTAAGTCTAAAAGCGATAGTCTAAATAAATACTGTTTTTTGTTTAAATTTTTCTAATTCTCTTTTGAATAGCATTGTTATTGTTTTCATCTTCAATACATGTCTTTTTTTTTCTTTTTTTTTTTTTGTGTTTGGTATTGTGTCATGTGCAATTGGGTTATTGGTGGTATCATAGAGGGATTCATCATGCAATGAGAGTATGGTGTAGAAAGTTTTAGATTAACCTTATTGTGTATATATGACTGGAATCTTAATTGTGTTATGAACTCCTCTTTATCTTACAAGCACATGTTGATATTATTTTTTGTTGTAGCTACTAATTTATTTTTTAATTTAATTAATAAGAGCAATAAAGTGGGCAAATTATGCAGGGGAGCCGTGCCCACCATGCAAGGTGGACACGGTTCCAAAATGTTCATAATTATGAATATATAGTTTAAAGATTATGAACATATAATTATATAATTATGAACATAGAGTTGTGAACATATAGTTCTTTAATTATGAATATACAGATTCAATAATTGTGAATATGACGTTCAAAAATTATGAATATATAATTTAGTAATTATGAACATAGAGTTCTGTAATTGTGAATATAGAGTTCAATAATTATGAATATGAATTTCAAAAATTATAAATATATAGCTTTATAATTATGAACACATAATAATTATGAACATAGAACCGTGTCCACCTTGCAAACCGAATTAACCGAACTTTTCAAACCTTTGACCGTTAACCGAACCAAAATTTGTGTTACCGAATTAACCAAATTAAATATTTTTCGGTTAACCGTTTAACCGAACTTTTTAAAACTAAAATTTAAAATCTTAAAAATCACCTAAAATAATAAATCTAATTAAAAAAAATACATATCATAATAAATTAATCCCTAACTTCAAATCTTCACTCAAAAATCCAAAGTCTAAACATCCATAGTCCATTATATATTTATATTAGTATTACACAATTACTATATATATATATATATATATATATATATATATATATATATATATATATATATATATATATATATATATATATCTACTATACTAATAAGAGCCCAAGAGAGTTAGGCCTATAATGGGTAGAAAAAATGGCGGTCACAGATTTTAATCAAATGAATGGCTCAGATTGATTGAAAGATTGATCAAATTTAAATTTTACACTAAAATTTCCTAAAATACCCACACACCGTTACTAATTCCATTAAAATTTTAAGAATTGCCGTTAGTTCACTGCTAACTTACTCATTGATTTCAATAGAAAAAGGTCTTAGGTTCGAATCTCATCCCAATCAAAGTTGGCATAATTAGTACTCTATTTTACTCTTATTAAATTATATAAATAATAATTTAGTAGTTACAACAAAAAATAATACATATGCATTTCTTTAATTTATAATTATGTGTCCACAATGCCTTTATTCCAAAAAAAAAATCATTATCAATAAATTAACTAAGAGAAATAATTTTATTAGTTATATTGTCTTTATTTTTCTTCAATATAAACATTTTTTATATTCAAATTTATTAATTGATTATATTCGCTATATTATCCTTACAATGTCTTTATTCATTGAAAAAAAATTATTAATTATCAATAAATTAATTAAAAGAAATATTTTCATTAGTTATATTGTCTTTATTTTTCTCAAATGTAAAAATTTTTACATTCAAATTCATCAATTGATTATATTCACTACATTATCTATTATCTTTTTTCTGCACTATTTTTCTAATTAAATATCAAAGTTATAATACAAAATAATGCTATATATTTATTTACCAAGTATTTTATTAATACCATGAAAAAATTAAAAAAATATATAATTAATAAAGCCAACCATATTAACTACTTGAGAGATTTTGTGACAAAGAGAGTATTCAAATTACACAACAAATTGAAGTGAGAACTACCTCGCAATGTCCTTGTTTGACAATCAGCAGTTAGGGGTTAGCGTTAGCGGATTATACTAGCGGATTTGACCAGCGAATTTATTTAATTATTAACATTGGGTAGAAAAAATGACCGCCAAATTATTAAATCAAATGAATGGTTCATATTGTTCAGGTTTTAACTTTTTTCTTTTAAGATTTTCTAATTTATCCGTAATTATATGATTATCCATTTAATTTTTCCGTTAATTCACCGTTAGTCTAATTCTAATATTAAAGTCTAATATAGAATTATAACTACACCATTAATCTAATTCTAATATTAAAGTCTTAATAGAACTTAACCACAAATCCTAATGTCGGAATCTCCTCAAACAATATTAGTATATATTTAATATTTTATGCCCTAATTTTTATTTGTTCTCCCTTATGTCCCGTATTTGGTTTCAACCATACCTATACAATTATTTTATTGACAATTATAATCAATCTTGACTATATTATCTTGCATTTGTAAACTTCGAATTACCTATTTAACCCGCACCGGCTTAGCCCAATGGTTTTGAACCTCGGCGGCGGCAGTGCGGGAATTATGTCCAAAGTGGGCAGATTCCTTGTCCACAATGCTCTATCGGGTCGGAGTGTGGGGGGCCCTTGGGGTTGGAGACTCAACCTCTGGGAGAAGAATTACCTATTTAAATACGCAAATTCAACCTTCAATTATCTATGCATGAACAATTTCAATATAATACTGCCTTAATATACTAAGTACTTATTTAAAAAAAAACATTGGGCATTATCCCAATCGCGCAATGCGCGTAAAAAACTAGTATATATATATATATTAAAAACTTTGGTTAACCGTTCGGTTAATTCGGTTAACCGACCTTTCGAACCGAATTAACCGTTAACCGAAATTTTAAAATTCTTTTAACCATTAATCGAACCAAAAAAGTTCGATTAAAAAATGATTAACCGAACTTTGTCGGTTCGGTCGGTTAACCAAAATTCTCTGAAGTTTGCACACCCCTAATAATAATATTTTTAATACATTTTAACATATTTGTAGTATATGTTTAACAATTATGCTAACTCTAATTAGGATATGATGAGATTCGAACCTAAGACCTTTCTTATAGAAATTAATAAGTAAGTTAAGAATAGTAAATAGTTAACGGAATATTCCGTTAATAAAGTTTATACTAACGGAATTTAAGGTTATTTAAGGAAAGAAAATAATATAATAAAGGGTAAATAAGGAAAATCATTAAAAATACTAAAATCAAAATAATATGAACCATTCATTTTAAGAAACAATTAGTACCGACATTTTGTTTATTCCAGTTATAAGGGTCTAACATTATTCGCTCTTATTATTAGAACTAGTTTTTGTACGCGCTTTGCGCGAATGGGATAATGCCCAATGATTATTTTTAAATAAGTATTTCACAGTATATCAACGCAATATTATATCGGAGATGTTCATGCATATGTAAATAAATATTGAATTTTTGTTTATTTAAATCGGTAATTCAAAATATATAAATGCAAGATAATATTTATTGAATTTTCTAATCGATATTTGGTAGTGGTAGTTTTCCCCTACATGTTTTATGCATTGTGAGATGTGTGTCGTAGGTTATCATGTGAAAGTATTGAACAAAATATTAATATTTATTATATTTGTATAAAATACTTGGTAAATAAATATATATAATGTATTTTGTATTATAACTTTGATATTTAATTACAAGATAATGTAAAAAGAAGACAATGGACAATGCAGTGAATATAATAAATTAATAAATTTGAAGTTAATGAATCTTTGAATTGTAGAAAATAAAGATAATATAACTAATGAAATTATATCTATTTTTAAATTTTTTATAATGAATATTTTTTTTTAAATAAAGGCATTATAGACATCTAATTCTAAATTAATTAAATGCATATGTATTATTTTTTGTTGTAGCTACTACTTTATTTAGTTTAAGAGCAATAAAGTGGGCAAATTATGCTAT